CGTGGTCGATGTCGGCGTCCGGCCTTTGGGTGGAGGGGGGCAGGTATTCGGCGTAGCGCAGCCCCTCTCTGGAGGCCACGCCGCCACCGGTAGCCATAGCAGTGCGGGTGTCCCCGAGGACGCGCTGCGTTGCTACCAGTCTACGAGGTGACCGTAGGGACAAACTAGTGCATGCGGACCAACTTCGCGCTCCGAGCAAACGTCCTGTCTGTCTTATTGGAGGAGACCTGACTGCAGAGACTCTGTTTCTCTTTTTATCTCCGAGCAACTTGTCCTGTCAAAGCCCTAACTTTTGTTTGTTTACTTGTATTTATTTTGAAGGCTCTCCGGGAGCTAGACTTGTTGTGTCAACTTCCACCACACCCACCAAGCCTGGGGCTGGGGGTGGGACTTGTTGGGTCTACCTTGAGTTCCTCTAAAACTAGGCTGGGAGAGAGAGACTCCTGGGTCTCCAAGCGGTGGCGCCTGGGAGTAGAGACGCGCCTGTGGCTTCCTAACTTGACCTTCCCAGACAGAATGGAGTATGATTTTACATGTAAGGGAAATTTCTGGGAAGAAACTGGCAATCAAGTAGCTTGCACTCACTGCGGATGATTTTGAGTTAATTTGAATATATAAAGAATTTTAGGTCAAACTCTTTGAAGCAAAAATTAGACAATAACTTAAGTTAAGTTCGTTTTCTAACCCCTGTGCCGACTTGGCTGCTGTTTTGCCCTTTATACACTTTGCAAACCAGCTAACAAGAAGTTTTTTTTTCCTATTCTTGAATTAAAAGCTGTAAGAACCTATTAATTTATCCATGTAGTTAATATTATGTCTATGTTAGGGCCTGAAGGAATTTACAATCCAGAAGGAAAGATTACACCAACGCCTGCTAGTAATGTATACCCAAGCACAAGCATGGTGGATTGGCTGCAAAAAGAGGCAAAAGTGGCATTAGCATTTACAGAAAGGAACAGCAGCAATCATGAATGTTTCCTTGGAGGCTCCGCCTTTAAGATGGTTCAGTAAAGAACATGTTTTTTGTTGTTGCTGCTGTTTTGTTTTGTTTTAGTTTCAAGAAGAAAAGGGCCAGAAATTCCACCTGGAAATAAACACAAAGAACTGAAAAGGGTATTGTGTAGTATTGGGTTAAAAGTGCTTCAAGACTCCTTAGAAACATGACTGTATCTAAATTATTTTTTATTAAGCCAATGCCCCATTATTTGTGAGCAAAACAAATGAGTTGGACTGGAGCCTACATATCATTCATTCATCATCCATTTGTTCAATTTATTCAATAAATACTTATTGAGCATTTGTCAAGTTTTAGACACAGTACCAGGGCATTGCACCTTTAGCATCAATTAAACAAAGTCTCCAAATCTTCAGAGTTTATAGTCTAAGGGAGGCTAATGGTATATCCTAGCAGCTGGACACTAACAGTCATAGGCTGCTAGCCTGGAGCAAACAAGCAATTAGAGCAAGACCCATGTGAGCCAGCTCTTTTTAGAACAGTGCACCTGCTTCCAAAGCAGAAGCCAGGAAAGCAGGGGGCTGGGTGGAGAATCAGGCAGAGGATAGGACCATAAGGAAGAGGGTGGAAGCAGGTTGCATTTCAGGTCAGACTTTTGAGAGTAGACTACTGGCTGCTTATAGACTTTACTGAACTCCTTGACACTACTGCCTTGGTTGTCTACTTCTACAAAAGTGGCCAGCATTAGAGGGAAATCTCATCCCCAGTCACTATCAGCCCTCTGCCTTTGGTTCAACCTTACCAGCAAATAAAGATAAAAATAAAAGCAGTGAAATCCCTTCCTCACTCCCTAAGGATCTCTTCTTGGTTTAGCTAGACTCACTTTTCTGGCTTCCTTGAGAAGGAAGATAAATGTTGTTTTGTGAAATAAAAAGAGAGGTGATGGAAGGATTAAGGAAGTCCATGAACGTCAGAATAAAGGAATAACAGGTATTTATTTGGGGAGTACTCACATGATGAAGGTAAATAGCCCCTGTGGTCTTCTGCCCCGGGAGGCGCAGGATCTGTGACACAGCTTGCTCAGACCACAACCCAAGAGAAAGCCCAATCGAGGCCCCTCCTCTTCCTGATAAGGGATCACAGCCACACCTGAAGCCATACCCTAAGGCCATTACTTCAGTTCTATTGGCCAAACAAGATGCCACTACAAAGAGGTGTACTAAATTTCTATTATTTTTTAATTACTTATACCATCTCAAAGACATATTATGTTCACTGGACCTTGTAAAGCAAAGGCAGAGATTGGTATATATTTTAGAAACATTTCAGTAAAAGGAGATGTAAAATTTTGTTAGGACTTTCAGGACTGCCAGTTTCCTGGATAGTAAAGCTGATGAGCAGTGTCACCTCCCTGGACGCAGCAAATGAGTTAGCTTTGTAACTGTCTTAGAATGATGACTATTACAGGTTGGGTGGCAAGTGCCCTTCCAAAAGGCTTATAAATGGAAGGCTTGGTTCCAATTGGCCAAAGACCAGGAAGGCATTGAACTAATCAATAGATTAATCCACTGATAGATCTACAATTTGATTGTATTATTGGGAGGTGTTACACATTCTCAGAGGGAGGGCCTAGTTGGTAGAAGTAGGCCACGGGATTGGGTCCTCTGGGCTTATATCTTATGTGGGGCCTGTCTGGCTCTCTCTGCCGCTTGGTTACTGAGAGATGAGCAGCCTCTTCCAACATAAACTCATACTTTTTCTTCATCATTACAGGCCTATAGCATTGGGTCCAGCCAACAACAACAACAACAACAACAACAACAAAAAGAAGCTACTAAAACCATGCACTAAGTCAAATTCTTCTTCCACTTAAAATGTTTCTCTTTGGTATTTGTCACAACAACAAAAGGGAACTTAATTAACTAATTGCCTGGAATCTAGTAAATTTTTCAAAAGTATTACTATTTTTTTTTTAAAATTTTTAAAAATTCTTTTAAAATTTCATATGTGGCCGGGTGTTAGTGGCTTACGCCTTTAATCCCAGCACTCGGGAGGCAGAGGCAAGCAGATTGCTGTGAGTTCGAGGCCAGCCTGGTCTCCACAGTGAGTGCCAGGATAGGCTCCAAAGCTACACAAAGAAACCCTGTCTCGGAAAAAAATATTCATATGTGAGTATACTGTATTTACCCCAACTATTCTAAGTCTCCAACCCTCTCAAATCTATAACCACTTCTTCACTTCTCCAGCAACAAGTTCTGTGAGGTAACCAAGGGGGGTGGCAGTAACTTATATTGTTTTGGGAGGATGTCCCTTGGATCTTCTAAAAAATTATTTGGAGATAAAATGGGACCATGCATCCTGTGTGTCTTAGCTTCTCTTATTGCTATGGCAAAATACCTTGTTGAAGACAATTGTATCCATCAGAGTTCTCTTGAGTCACAGAACTTATGGAATGAATCTCTCTCTCTCTCTCTCTCTCTCTCTCTCTATATATATATATATATATATATATATATATATCAGGTTGCAGCTCAACTAATCCAACAGTGGCTAGCTGGGAATGGAAAGTCCAAGAATCTAGTAGTTACTGAGTCCCACAAGGCTGGGAGTCTCAGCTGGTCTTCAGTATATGCTGGCATCCTGAAGAAGTAGGCTTTCAAACCAATGAAGGAATGGATGTGCCAACAAGTTGAGAGCAAGCAGGCAAAAATAAAATCTTCATTCTTCCATGTCTCTATATAGGCTTCCAGCAAAAGGTTTGGCTCTGATTAAAGGTGTGTCTTCCCACCTCAAGATCTGGATCAAAACCTGTCTCTTCCTATCCCAAGATCTGGATCAGACAAGTGTCTGCCTACCTCAAAGGTCTAGTGGATTCACCCTCTTCTAACTGAGCAGAATATCTCTCACATATGCCCACCATTTCTGAATTGTAGTTCATTCCAGATTAGTCAAGTTGACAACCATCACAACAATTTATAAAAAGAAAGCATGTAATTGGCTTACAGTTTCAGAGGGTTAGCCATGGAGAAGGAACATCTTGAACTGCATGTAGGACGCAGAGAGTCACACTGAGAATGACGAGAATCTTTGGAATTCTCAAAGCCAGCCCCCAATGGCACACCTCTTCCAACAAGGCCACACCTCTTAATCCTTCCCTTGCAGTTCCACCAACTCGGGACCAGATATTCGAACACTTGAATCAATGGGTATCATTCTCATTCAAGCTACCACACTGACTTTAAAAAAAAAAGGAAACAAACAACATTGAAAGCAATAGAGAAAAACACTCCACATGCAACACTAGCCTCTAGCCTCCAGATGTGAATGACAATGTGCATGAAAACCCTCTCTACACACACGCACACACGCGCGCGCGCACACACACACAATTCTCAAAAGCTACTAAGCAGTGTGGATGCAAGGAAAGAAATACAAATTTTCAATTTGAAAATTAGATGTGATTCCATACCCAGTTTTGCATTAAGATCTTGCTTCCTCTTCATTGTAAAGAAAACCAAATTAGAAGCCCTGAAGGATACATTATCATCATTGTGAGTGAATCTGAGGGGCAGAACTGACTCTGGGACCCATATCCATGTAAAAGGCTTTAATTCCACTCTTCAGACAAATAGAGAGCACAGGAGTAGGTGTACAAAGTGTCTGTCATGTCATACTTTCACAGCATTGGTGGGATTTTTAGTAAAAGGAAAGCTATCTTGGAGCTGGGTTTGCAGTTCGGTTGCTAAAGTGCTTGGCCAGCATGCATGGAGCCCTGGGTTTGATCCCCAGCAGCACATAACCTGGGCATTGTGGTGCATACCTATGCTTCTAGTACTAAAGAGGTACAGATAGGGAGGATGAAGAGTTCAAGGTCACCTTCAGCTATATAGCCAGTTTGAGGCCACTCCTGGGACACAAAAGACTCTGTCAAAAAGGAAAAGAAATGTCTAAGTATATGGAGTATATGAAAACATTGTATATGAACAGTACCACAAGTTGTTCTGTTTTTCTAAAGCTTAAATCATAAAAAAGACAGTTCAGATGGATGAGGTGGGCAAAATGCCAAAGGGCAGATATCAAACAGCCTTATGTAATAAGCAAAGGCATTTAGGGTTTATCTTATCCATCAAAGAACATTAAATTCATGTGTAACTTAGTGTGTTAACTAGCATTTTGTCACTAACACAAAGTTAGCTCAA